AACAAGATGCATGGGAGGCCGAGTTTATATAAGGTCGAAGGCATTTCTCCTGCCACCAAGTCCAACTTAGGATTTGTTTGGGTATCATCCCAAACCATGATTTGAGAAAAGAGATTGCCAAACATCAGGAAAAAAGCCAAAATCATGGTTTTGGTCCAGAAACTATAATTTCTACAAAAGTGAAAATTATCTGCTTCTAAGGGGAAAAAAAGAGTGTCAGAGCCTACATGCAATAATGTGCCTTCTTTTTTTTTTTTCCCAGACGGATATACTCTTCCCGAATTATTCAGAGCCTTCATTCTCTTCGGCAAATGTAACGTGGCTAGCAAAATTTATAACGCAAAGATAACTGTCAGACCGAATCCATTCCTCATTAAAGAAAGTTAATTATTTTCTGTTAGCAAAAAAAATCATTTTTCTATAAAATATTTAATCTTATTTTTTTATAAATATATATACACACACATTAATTATTTATTAATTACATTTTCTTATATATTATTAATTATGTTGGTAAAAATGTAATATCAACAAATTTACTTCTTCAAATTCAAATATATTATAAAATTTATCTTTTATGTAATTATTATATTAACTTATAATTTTTTTAATAATTTACATATAAAAAATTCTTCTGATAATAACTATCCAAACACTCAATTTATTAGAATCACTTTTTCACAATTTATTTTTACAAAATCTATTCTTCTAAAAATCTATTTTCTAAACCATAATTTGATTTTATCCAAACATTTTTTTACAAAAGTTGTTAATGCCCAAATAGGGAGGGGAGAGAGATGGATATGTCAATAAATTCAAGCTGGTTATGTTCATAAATATTTATATAACATGTTCGAGAAATAAAAGAAGATTAATACATAATCTTTTCACCGTCAGTTCTTCAATAAATGCATATTGCATGAACGGCAAATTTAATTCTAGCGCAAAATAAGTAAATTAATAACTAACTAGGCAATAAATAATCCAACCGATTCATTCTCTTTTTAGGTGAAAATATGAACTAAACAATTCGCTGATTTCTCAATCAGACGGCATAACACCATTTTTTTCTCTTCCCCACCCCCACCCCGGGGGGGGGGGGGGGAACTGCAGAATGAGAACGCTGATGAGCCAATTACAATGGAAGACTAGCGTCAGGCCTATTTTTCCCTACAAGGACTAATGTCTGCGAACTTTTTAAATTGGCTAAGATGCTTAGGAAGAATAGAAGTGAAGTTAGGACTTAGTAGGAGGGCCTATGCTGGATGACAAACTGAGGAAGCCCTAGTTCTTGATGATGAATTGTTATCCAGGGAAATCTAGGAACACAGAAACTACAAAGAGATGCCGATAACTTACTTGTCAAAGCAGCTAATAATAATTTCAATGGCGAAAAGTTACTTTCTCTAATGAAAATTGTACACAGGGTTGAATATTCAGCCAAGTCTAGAGTATCTAGGGAGCAGACCTATGAGGAGCGGAAAGAATTGCCAATAACGACATCTAATGTTACCTCCCATTTGATGCCTAAATGAATGAAGATCTTTGGGGCAAAAATATATTTTTCAGATCTTTTGATGCCCCCAAACAAAACTCAGCAATGCCGCTGCTATTTGCATTTGGATGACATCTTACCATTATTTCTGTACAGGAAATCACATCCTTCGGATGTGGAAATATGGGCAAAAGACACAAAGACCTAGACATAAAGCATCTCTCCATGAGTTATCCAGCGCGAAAATTTTTCAGCATAACCACCATCTTTGTTGAGATCTGGGGCACTCTGCTTCCTCGCCTAAAAATATACAAAAGTAATTCAAAATCCACGGTACGCTAGAAAATAATGAAATCATTATCATATGAAGTTCCACTCAAAGTATTGTTAGCCTGGAAGTATAGTGGAGACACAAGTTGATATAAGCAGCCTGATAATCCTGCAATGCCGTAGAGAACTCAGTACGAAAAAGAGGTCCTCATCTCCAGAACTGAGGAAAACTGAGTTCCCAATTGCAATCCCAAGAAATATCAGCAAATATAATATCTCAACTACAAGTTCACAAAGAACTCACGAATAAAATTTATGCCCTATCCAGCTAGATCATGGTGTTTCCTAAATCAAGTGCACTGGACGTTATTTATTCGCGAATTCATCGATAACTAATAACTTGTTAACATGCTGAAATGCTTCCAGAACAAAACATATACTCACCTTCGTGCTGGGTCCAGATTCATTTCCAGATGCAGTCCCCTCAGTTCTCAGTTCATTTGCAACGTTCTCTGATGAGATGCTGGTTGACCTGTAGACATGAAAACTATTTGGTCAGTCATGACTTGAGGGAAGACTGGCTCAAACTTCATGACTCTCACCAACAATATAGAAATCTTTCAAGACTTGAAATCATGAAAATTTAAACAAACTCCCACTCAATAAACTGGTTTGGCATTGCTTTAAATCTCAATAGCCACCAGCAAATCCATTTGATTGACCGCAAAAACTTCATATAAGCAGTTCACACCAGAACACGGTCATTACATTACACACCATAAAAGAACATGATGTCTGGATACATATTCCAGTTTAGACATCTTAACCTCAATAATTATACGTGCATTGGTCCCTTTCACCATTCATTTTCTCCCATCAAAGTTCAACTTCAGGCTCTCCTAACTAGACTTGAGACTTCACTCCTCCAAAATTCCTCATGACAAACGTGTTTCTATAAAGCAAAGAAATGTGAAGGCTAACCAAATACTGCTCTCAACAATGGCATGAGATCTGACCATTGTAGCACGAAGTCACAAACTAAAAGTTGACAGAGTTAGCCAGTCGTTAAATAATCCATAGATTTACCTGCTAGAGTAATCCAATTTAAGCTCAGATACCGTAACCTTCCTGCTATAAAAAAGGCACATTTTAACCTAAATTGGAAATAATGTTTCTACTTTCACCCAAGAACTGAGGATAGCAAAAGGGATGCAAAAAAGATATTATTGTTTTATCATAAAGCGACAAAAAGAAAATACTAAGCAACAATTTAGCGTATACAGATAAAGAGTAAGCAGGGGCAGGTGCCATATGTCTTCTGCTGAAGTAAAAGCAAAACGTTAGCAGGTACTACCTTTCAAGTAATTCCTCTTCACAAGAGTTTCCAGAAGATGAAAGCCAGTCCACGTCAAGAAAATTTGAGCAGTCACAGGCATCCCCATGTTCGTCATAACAAATGTGATCACTTTCACAACATCGGCCCTCCAAAACTCCCCTTCGCATCTGCCTGTATATTGACAAAGCAAGACCATAAAAGCGTTTGGATGGTTCAGATAATGAGGCACATCAGATGAAACTTCCCTAACTGTACTCTGCTGTCATGTTCGAAAATATATATTTTATAGATAGGAGAATGTGATATTCCTCACTAGCATTTGCATAAAAATATAACTACATCATCGCTTTAAAGAAAGCAAATTCTAAACTTTTTTCTCATACTTCCTCTAATTTATTTGCAGTAAAGCCAATTGACAGTGTTACGCATATTATAAAGTTAACACATTGTTCGGTCTAGTTCTCGGGCCAATGGTAATCTTAACATTTGCTGCGCCTCTCCACCCCAGGGTGGGGGGGATCCTATTTTGCAAAATTTTCAGGAGGAACATTCTGCTTTTAATGGGCTAAAAACCAGAATATACCAGCACTACCAGAACTTACCACATTCAAAATGCAATTTAATCATACCTGTATTGACAAACATCACTTCCGCAAGCAAAGACATCCGGATCAGACTCTGAAAGACATTGGTCATCAGCTTTTTCAGATAAATGCTGACTGTTTGTATCATCCATGTTCCTACTTGTGTCACTTTCACAAACAATATTGCCATCTGATAACGATCTTTTGACAGCTGACCTGCCAAAATAAAAGAAAGGAATGGTGTCAATCTTTACAAAAAAAGATGGCTTTTTTTCAAGAGAACATTTATGTATACATCCCAAAAAAGGAAATATACTTTCATCTTCGCACAAGAAGCATGAATTTGACTATTAGAGTAATGTTGGACAAGAATCCATAGCCAATTAAAAAAAAAAAAAAACCCGATTAAGCGTTATTAATGCAAGCTGAAAAATCTTGTTTTCCTGAAATATTCCACAAAGTAATAAAATAAGTCCTTTTATACTGCTTACTGCAACTCTTACCAAAAACAAAGTCACAGACTACTACATAACAAGTTCTGCTAGCAGAGCAAGGATGAAATGGAATATTTTCAGTAAATAAAGCAGCACTAAATACCCTTAAAATAGTTTATAATTTAAGATCTTTCATATGGAAAAGAAATAAAAAGACATTCCTTAAAGCAACATCTATCAATATGCTTAATCTCTAAGCTAAAAACAAGTCTAAGCATACACATTCGTGAAAAATCTTTGATGTCATAATACAGGACAGCATCAGAGGTTCACGGACAAAGGTTCAGTTCACAAATGTTGGTCAACTTCAAATTTAAATATTGATTGTATTATAAATTTCTGTTGTTTGCTGACATAAGCCCCCTTTTAGATGCTTGATTAAATGGACATGGCGTGAATAGAAGCGGTGAATAAAACACACTGTACCTAATATTATCATCAGCTAAAATTGAACCATGCTTGGCAACATTGTAAGATTGATCTGAATCTAACTCCCATAATGCTGGTTTTCCCGCCTGTGGCTGAAAATGCCCCAAAAATCTGGCCCATAAAGTAAATCGTAGAACCATTAGCTAACCTCATTTCAATACAAATCAGTTAAGTCAATATATAAAATTATGTGGATATAACTTTCAAAAAAAAAAACAAGAAGAAGAAGACTCATTTGACTCACATGTTGATTGCATTTTGTTTGTCACTATCCAAGTATGTATTGTTGTAATAGCGCTGCAGACTTCTGAGAAATTCCTGGGATTGCATGGCTGCCTTCCATTGACCTCTTCTCTCAGAAAATATCTGCGCAGCAATAGCAAAAGCAAAATTGAAACTTCTATTGGAAGGCAGGACTGATTCCTTCCAAGATAGCAGGCTAGAAAAATAAAAATGAACTCATATTTCCACTCTAATAATTTGGACAAATTTTCTTCATTTCTTAGAAGCGGTCCTACTTTACCGATAATCAAAATTACCAATGAATTTCTCATCTAATCTATCAGCTGATAAAGATTAGGCAAAACCCATGCATACCTATACAATGATGGTCAAGCTTCTACTTCTTGATTTCTGATTTGGAAATTGTATTGTAATAAAAGCATTTTAATATACCAGGAAAGAAGCAAACAAGATAAATTGGAAATGACTCTTCAATCTGATCCCTTTCCAAGTAGGAATAAGAAGCACGCTCAACTTATTACCCCAATTGCGGAGGTTACTGATTCACCTCATGCAATATCAGTGTCATAAGATTAAGCTAATGCTGACAGCTAGACATAATAAATTTATTTCATAATTTTGAAAGTATCTGGTGACTTCAACAGACGACTATACACACTGGAACTTTTTTTCATTATATTGGATGCATCTAAAGAGCTGCATGGCACGCCAGCAGACGGAGCTGCTTAGCACTTTGCATCACAGGCAAGTATAACCTCACGTCAATGAATCGGAATCATTGGAAAACCCTGTGAAGCCAGCAAGCCCCACCCCACCCAACTCCACCACCCCCAGTCAAAAAAAACAAAACAAAACAAAAAAAGAAAAGCTTTTCCGTTAATGCCAAGCCTGTTATGTCTTAAATATTTTGGTTTTTCCGTAAGCATCAGTAACTTGTCCTTATGAGTTCCTGTCCTTATGCGTTCACAACTTGGCTGCAGATCCTAAATAAAATCATTAGGGTGCAAAGGATTTCTGATCCCATATTATTTTTCACAATCCATAAAGCCTTAAAAAGGTTAGAAAGATACCTTATTGTGTGCTGCAGAACCCCCGTATTGCAATGCTAATGTGTCACCCATTGACTCATAGACAGCCATTAACTCTACCGCCAAAGGGTTGTCAAAATCAATATATGGAGATTCCAAATATCTTAAAGCCTGTAGCTGGCGTCCAAGAGCAGTTAATCCATAAGCATACTGGGCAACATTAGTACGATCTAAACAGTCTATGCAATTAGTCCTCAAGACCCCTGATTGAAGCATGCAGGGTTTGACGCAGTATTCTCCAATCACATCATCATTGAAATAATATCTGTTAATCGTGGTTTCCCTATTAGGAGCATCCTCATCAATACAAGCCTGCTGAGTGGGATAAAGATCGTCGATATTATTGCTGCATTAAATTAAAACAAAAAAAATCATCAATGGAGTAACTAGTAAGAATGTCTAGGCAACATCAATTAATGACCATTGTAATGAACAAGCAGGAAAGATTGGTGGATATTCTTCCACAGGAAAGTCACGCTGCAGTGTACATAAAATCTAGTGGATAATCTAAAACAGAAATGTTTGCAAATAAACAAAAATAACTTGTAAGGGAAAATGTATCGATCATTGTAAAGAAAATAATAAATAAAGCAAAATCTCAACTTGCTTGATTAATAAAACAACAAATAATGCCTATTATACCAAATGCAAACCAAGGCCGAGGATGACATATATATTTAAAACAATTGTTCCTATTTTTCAAATTTTATTGCATGGTTTTAAAAGCCTTGTAGATTCTGTGTGTCCAAAAGGCAACATCATAGAAATAATATTACAGCAAACATCCAACACAAAATGAAGTGAAAGGAAAGTTTAGAAGGGGTTTTGTAGGACTTACTCAGAGAATGAATTTTGCAATAATCCCTCTGGCCTTACATTTGGAGTCACTTGACAGTGGAAGATGCCCGTTAATTTTAAAGCATAAGCAGCAACTTTTCCCAGTTGTGTCAGCACATTAGTAGCCTTGCTGTTAAAGATGATTGCTCCAATAATGTCAAAATAACACCCCAAGAAAAGAAAAACCTTAAGTTTTAGATGACAGAAGTGCAAACTACCATTTTGAGTGCCGATTCAGATCCCAGTGAAGGAACCTGAGACAATTTTCCCCTCTCATGGTTTTATTAATGGACCTGACCGCATTTGCAAACTCAGCTCGGAGAATAGTTTCTCGAGGCTTCTTCTCACGCGTCTTAAAAACAAAAGTAGTTCAAAGACAAACAAAGATGTTAGACAAGAGACAAAAAAATCAGCATGTTAGATGATAATCATTCAATCCCTAGACGTGGAAATGCCTACCTTAATCAAGTTCAATATAATAATGGGGTTTCCGTATCTCTTGATAAGGTTTTCAAAATGAAGTCTCGTAGCTTCAAAGTTTTGGTCCTCCTTTGATACTGGCATGAGAAAGAACCAAAGTTGGTGTAAATAACAGAGAAGGAAAGCCGGTCAGAAAAGAGGTATCTTATCAATATCATACATATAATGTCAGGCTTCATATTCAACGGAGAGGCTTCTTGAGACCAGAAAAGAGGGATTGATCCCCGCATCTGTACCACAGAACTTATTTGCATCGGGCATCCATCTTGAGCATCTTCAAAGACTATTTGCTCTGTCTCAACATCATTAGCCACTCTGCCCTTCTCATTCACTCCTCGTTTCAAATATCTGCATCAGAAGATACACACATATATATACACACCAAGGAAAATCTCTATGAGATTAATCACTCAATTTAAATCAATTCAATAGCTCAAAGTACATCAGGAAGTCCAAAAGAAATATTAGTTGGAAGTCTTAGGTGCTGACTCGATTAGAAACTAGAAAAAAAAAGATAACAAACCATTAAAATAAGTCTTCATTATGTAGAGAGGAACACAACCATAAATATGCGGAAAAGATCATAGCTTTGATAGTATAACTAGTTCAAAGAGGCAGCAATGGACAAACCTGGTGCCAGCATAATGACGCGAGCGTCTAGCAATGATAGTTAAGTAGAACTCCCTCTCAAATATAGAGAGTTTAACCTGGACATAATGCAATGAAATGAGTGCCAGTCAAAAAGAAAGTACCAAATCTTTTTGAATAACACATATAGAGGCATATGATCTTGCATTACTATCGATACAATTCTCCAAGCCTATAATGACATATGCAAACCGTTAACATTACTCATTATTCAACGAGATGTCAGACTTGAAAGTTGAAACTACTTCCTACATTAAAGAGTTAATCAAATCTCCAATACGACCTTGAGAAAAGAACACTCCAACATAAGACAACTGAAACACTAATACCTTTAGGCTTTAACAACTGCAACATAGATAGCGTGAAGTGAACAGTAGGCAAGAAATTTTATTAGTCAGTAACAGAATAAAAAGACAAACTGATACAAATTAAACAAAGAATAAATGGAAGAAAAGGGTAGCCTGGCTGTAGAAGTAGAAAGCCGGACAGAAGAGAAGAGCTTTAACAAAAACAAAAAAAAAAAAAAATTACTAGCACTACTATTAGCTTCATTAGATTCATTGATAAATCTTTTAAATTTGTGCTCCAAAAAAGATGCATGTACCTGTTTAAAAAAGCCATGCACTAAAGCAACTGTCCAGGAAGTGTTCAGAAGGTTATTCCTGATTTCACGAGTTAAGAACTCATTCCAAACAAACATTGTTTCATAAAGTTTTTGCCCTGTTGTACCATTATCAGATAAGTTCTTTTGAAGGCTTCGCATGACATGGTATGAGTAGCTGAAAAAGAAGTCCTTCCTAAGATCCACACTGCATAGAAGCTTCTTGTATCTAAGTCATAAGAGAAGAAAAGGCAAAGCCCATTAATAGATGCTTCATAATATAGAGGGAAAGAAATATTAATAAAAACAACTCAAGGAGTATTATCTCCAGCCAGGAATGAAAAAAAGGAAAGAAAATAATCTCCCCAGTAAAACCCTGGCGGTACCTTGTCTCACTCAAAAAGATATATTTACATCACAACAGCAATGAAGATTGCCCCTGTACATATGCAGGAAATGAACTGGCAATAGAGTGTAGGACAAGAAAACAACAAACTGATGCAGGTAACCACTACAAATATTACAGGACTCAAAAATCTGGAGGAAGCAGTATGTACGATATTTTAAAAGATACAAGTAAATAGTACCACAGACATGACGAGGTTGACCTGAGGATGCCCACTTTGTGTATATACACTGAAGAAAGATATCAACATATATAGTACAAAGAAAGCCCCTATAATGAAAAAGTTCCAACACAAATAGAATACGACACTCAAATGATTTTTTTCTCAATAAAACAAACAGAATGTTATCACTCAACATTAAAGTGAAATCAAAAAAATAACCATAGTATATAACATTATTCTCATCTAAGTACAACGGGCAGGGTATAATTCTCAATGCTCTCAGATGTCTCTTCAAATGTACCGTAGACATATTACATTTACATGTAGAATGGACTAAAGACCTGTTCTCATCTTTAGAATATGCCATTTTGGATCGCACAGAAGGATGTGGAACTGGAATCATTTCGCTCTTTGTGATGGTATATATTGTATGCCCACAGATTGTGCCAATCTTCCTTCGATTTGTTATGAGCAACATGTAATATGGCTCAAGAAACTTGACGAATCCTAGAAAGAAGACGTGAATGTTTTCTGGTTAATAAAAGGGGGAAAATGGTAACAGCAACAGTTTCACTTAGAACATACCAATGATTCCATAGCAAGTTGTCACAAATTTAAGGCCCCCAGTTGACCTGTTTCCTTCATCTATCCGTCTTAAAAGATCATAACACTCAATTTCTGAGTATATCATCGAATCCTCAGTGATATTTAGTTCAGCTGTCTCCGATCTATCAATCTTTAAGACCCTCCAAGAGGTTCTGCTTTTGTCTCTCCCGATCATATAAAATTTCTGCACATAGATAAACCTTTAAGAATTAGGAGAAAAGTTAATGTTTGCATCAATGCCATATTGATAGAAATCATATGAAATCTCACAATGAAGCAAAGCGAACAATAAGTGTACAAGGGGCGAATAAGATATGTATACCGAGCGAGTTTCATAGAGCTTGAACTTCTGCATGATGCAGGAATTATGGTCAGCTCCATCATTAATAAAACGCTGATTCTCCTTCGCTAACTCCATCAAACTTCAGATCCCGAGCTTCCAAAGCTCGGGTAGTTCCACCAAGATCACCAGCAGAAAAATTTAAACAAAAAACAAATAAACAGCGAAACACAAGACTAAATAAAATAGCCAAAGCTTTCTGTTTGATCAGAAGGTCTACAATACAAATAATACAATGACAACTCAAGCTTTTACATCAATCCTATCCCTGTACACGTGCTGAAATCCAATAAAAGAAACACAGAGCATCCTCAGAAAGCCAGCAAATCGAATCAGAGCTAGGAAACAGCTTGGGAGAGAAATCAAGAAGCTCAGACTTTGGGGAAAGGAGAAGCAGCTTTTCGCTGAGGCGAGGAGATTGGCGGATTCAGAGAAGGAAGAGGGAAGAATGTGATTGTCAGATCGCCCCAGAGAAGGAGAACGCAGCTTCGGACAATGCACCATACATCCACACAAAATATAATAATCACAAAAATGCAAGCTATAAAGGGAAGAAAAAAATGTGGAAAACCCTCGTTTAAATTAAATTTTGCAGACGGTCTTTCGCCATAAAAAGAAATGGGGAAATTTCACTGTAGGACCGCAGAAGATAATTAATTTCAAAAAGCCTCCAAAACTTTCTGAAATTTCACTGCAGGACCAAGGGGCAAACTGATATTAATTCCACAAAGAAAATGACCCTATTACCCCTCATGTGAACAAGTATGGGAGAACCCATTTGCAAGTGAGGTTAGATAATTTACAACATGTATAGATATATTTACAATTAAAATTAGTCCATTTACATATTACCTTCTTCACCTGAAGAATGTGTCTGGGTGAACAAGTGTGGGACAGCCCATTTGCAAGTGGGACTAGACAATTTGCAACATATATATTTATTTACAACTGGAATTAGTCCATTTACATGTCACTTCCTTCACCTGAAAAAGGTCTCCGTGAGTGAACAAGTGTGGGAGCACCCATTTGCAAGTGGAATTAGTCAATTTGCAACATACATACATTTATTTACAATTAGAATTAGTCCATTTACATATCACCTCATTCATCTGAAAAAGGTGCCTGTAAGTGAATAAGTGTGAGAGAGTTCATTTGCAAATGAGATTAGTCAATTTGCAACATACATACCTTTATTTACAACTGAAATTAGTCCATTTACATGTCACCCTGCAATAAGTATTATGAGGGGCAATAGCGTCATTTTCTTTGTGGAATTAATATCAGTTTGCCCCTTGGTCCTGCAGTGAAGTTTCAAAAAGTTTTGGAGGCTCTTTGAAATTAATTGTCTTCTACGGTCATACAGTGAAATTTTCCCAAAAGAAATTTAGTAACGCATACTTTTTACCAAATTTGAATAGGTCGAATTTTTGGTGAAAAAATTAGAAATGGTCCGGTTCGCTGCCAACTCGGTAACTCGCCGATTCAACAGAACCCCCTCCAGTTGTTTCTATAAGAAAATTTTCTGGGGGATTATTACTTTAATTTATTAAGAAACTTTAATTATTTATTTTAAATATTTATTAGTATTCTCTGTTTTATGCCTCATTAAAAATGGGACGTCTAATAAGATCAATTATTAAAATTCATGATTCAGCTCCATAAACAAAAGTATCTTTTAGAAATAATTTATGCAAAAATAATGCATTTAAATAATTTTAATTATGTATTTAGATTTGGCTATTTGTCTCTTATAAAAAGATAGGAAGAAATATTAGACAATAATAAAATTAAAAAAATAAAATCCATTTCAGTGATTAATTATTAAGAAGTATAATTAAAAAGATAAAAATTAAGATAAGATTCATCTATCAATGTAAGTCCTACCATTATTTTAACTTCTTCCAATATCTATAGATCACAAAATAAAGATACACAGTAAAGAGTTATTATGATTACTCTACAGATTTTTATACTTTTAATCAACGTAATTAAGAGCATTATTTGAGATAACGTGTCTATCCTTCTTAATAAAATTTATTCTGCTTACATTTTAGTTTAAATTTTTTTGGTGAAATTTAGTTTAGTTTTATGATTTATAAAGGTATGATTTATATTAATTTCTTGTATATTTACTATCATCAAAATCTCTCATTGATATATAAGAGATATATTTGGCAAAAATATATATAATAGATATATAATTCAATTGAGAATTGTTCGATGGCAAAAGAAATTGAGAATTATTCAGCAATTTGGAGAAATTGGACAATAATTATGCTTCGATTTAGAAATCTAGTCGTATTTTTTAACGATGGGGTGAAGAGAAATCATTAAGAGCCTTAAGAAAATGACTATAAGAACATATACCGAGTCAACTTATTCTATGCAATTAAAATTAAACACGGTTCTCGCCAATTTGAAAAAGTTAAACACGGTAAGTAATCTTTTGAGAAAATTAATGCTCGGACCACATTTTAAATTATCATACATGACAAACTATATAAAGAAATAAATACAAATGTATGTTTACCATTTTATTATCTCCGATTCTTAATATAAGACCTCCTTTGAATTTTATTTTGGTCCTAGATATAAGATTCTAGTTCACTTTATTTTTCATATTTATTCATTTTTTTAAGATAGTCTTTGTAATAATAATAGTACTAGCCAATACACTTGATTAGTAAGGATATTTTAGGAAAGACAATATCTATTTATTACAAATAACTAACTTAACTAGTTTTCCTAATCTATCCAAATTAGTTAATTAACTAACTTTTATATTAAGAATCGGGTAGTGTTTTAAAAAGGGAATATAAATTATGGCTTTTTGTGATGATTATAGATTTTGCTGCCCCCTCACCCCGTGCATGTTGGCTGGAAAGAAATGGAGGAGAGCAAAGCGAAATTTTTTATAACAAGCTTACCTTTTTTAAGAAAATTAATAACTAGGATTGAAAATTCTTTTAGAAAACAGATATAAGAGGAGAGAATGGGAAAAATTAATTAAAAAATATTAACATGATAATTAAAAAACACGCACGGAGTTAATAAGGAAATGTGTGTGCAGGTTATGAGTCTTAATAAAGAAGCTAACATAAACAGATCAAATTAATCGCTAATCATTTATAGAAATTGGTCAAAGATTTGCTGAATTACTAACAAATCAAATACTAACATTTTATCATGCCATTCCATATCCAAAGATTCTACCAATGCATAAAGCTCATTTTTCTTTTCACGCATTTCGTTGATGTAAGCATATATAGAATATAGAACATGACTTTTTCATTCAATCATTCAAAAAAAAGAATATGACCTCTTTTTCCAAGAAGTGTCTGACATTTCTACAAATGACATCTGTCAATTATGATCACATTTACATAATGTCTTGAACGTAAAATACTATATAGTACATACACACGCAATGTCAATTATTACATGACAGATACATCACTAGTTGTCATTTAGGCTAATTTGTATATGGGGTAAAAATTTGATTACTTAAGCCTGCCATTTATGCTAATTTTCAGTTGGTTAGATGTTTGGCCAAAAAGATAAAAGTTGTTTGTGGGCATAGTAATATATTTTTTTTGAAAATATAATTGAAAAATCGCACATACGTTCAAATTAACATTTTTTTAAAAGGCTAAATTATGTCGGATGTGTTTATATTTTTTAATGATATTTCTTAAACTTTTAAGATATATTTGTGTGTGCAAATAAATTTTTAATATTTGGTAATAGGAGTTCTCAACTTTTAAATGTATGTAGGTAATTTCATCACTGTTAAATGGACTCCGAAAACCAATGAAACATTATATGAAAATAAGTTTATCTACACATACCTTAAAAGCATAAAAACTAACAAACAACCTCAAAACTTAAGAGGTTATCTGCATTTTAAAAAAAATAGAAAGATACATTATTATTTATATGCATTATCTTTTAGTTAATGGGAAAATGAATTAGACTCTTATTTATAAAGAAATTAATAAACAACAACAACAACAAAGCTTTAGCTCATTAAGCGGGGTTAGCTACATGGATTGCACAATGCCATTGAGCCCTATCCAAAGTCAAATCTTTGGATATATTATTAATTGAAATATCTCATTCAATGACTTCATTAAGTGTTGTCTTCGTCTTCCTTTACTCTTTTTTAGAGGACTTCATATTGTTTGATTAACTCTTCTCATCGGAGCTTCCTAAGGTCTTCTTTACATGTGAGCAAAGCATCTCAATTGGTTTTCTATTGTTTTCTCATAAATAGCAGTAACTCCAACTTTTTCTCGTATAAAAAAATTAATCATTTAGTTTAAAAAAAAAGCATTTTTTTTAATTTTATACAATTTAAACACCCATATGCATATAAATACGTCAATACCAAGTCGGAGAACGCAACCTCATTAAACTATGTCGGACGGTGTTGTGACTAGAATAGCTTGTTATTAAAAAAATAAATGGAAAGAACTGGTTGGGTTGATTTGATTTGATGGTTCGATCCAATGGGAAGAGGAATATCCAAAATGAGTGCTTCGAATGTCTTGGATGGCATCAATTATTGCTATTTCCTCCCTTCCATCACGTTTTCCACATACCTTTCTGGATTTGCCTCCCCCCACTTGCATTTCCAAGTTTCGTCACTAATTTTATTCATTTGATTACGCTTGAAACTACCATCCATCTTATTTTAACGGGAAAAGTCAAACTTCCTTTTTCTAAAAAAAATTAAGCAACTTATTTGAAGAATTGACATAAATTATATGAATATTTTGTTCGTTTATTAAAAATACAGTGTTGATTGATTGGATTTACTAAGTCAGAGCTGGCTTACTGTTTAGAGAAACTTCCCGCGGTCCCTGTTCTTTTTATTTCTAGAATTTATTTTAAATCGACGTTCATTGTTTAATCTATTTAATTAAAATGTTTTATTCTCAACAAAAAATAATAAATATTTGTTTATAATAAATCTAAAGAGAAAAAAAATAATATACTATTCCTTAAGACACTGTTTTCAGACCAGAGAATTCTCCACGGATTATTTGCTCCTGTCACTAATTCTTATTCTTTATGTATAATGCACGAGCCTGTCTTGTTATTAGTTATATAAATCAAAAGAAAAAAAAAATCAAGGACCTTGCCAATGGTTTACACCTTCATTCGACAGCAAATTAATACGTGTCATAATATGATCGACTGTATTTAACTAATTTGAACATGTAACATATTTTTCTTAAAATATTATAATCATCTTTCTTAATATCTCGTCTCCTTCTTCTACTTGATTATGGTTGAGGGAGTATCCATACGAGTAATTTAGAGAAAATTAATAAATATGAGAAATTGGTCTTATATTTAGGAACAAAACCAACTCAACAATTGGGTCTTATATTAAGGACCGGAGGAGTATTATTTAAAAGTTGCAGCATAAGTTTTCAAATCACAAAATGATAACATGCAAACTTGTAACCTTTGAGTGAATTTGTGAATAAAAACAAACTGACTCAAACAATATAT